TTTGCTGGCATAAAACATACTTGTAGGATGATAGAAAGAACGATGGAAGATGATGTGGGCAAGTGTCAGCCACCCCTGCATTGCCTGGCACCTCCCACCAGGGTGGAGGGATGGAAGGGGCCTAAGGGTACTGGCACTCCCTGGGAACAGCCCCAGCAGCATGGGGGACACCAACTATCCTGCTGTTGAGGCTGAACCCTCTGAAGTGCTCCATCATGAACACACAGGTCTCCATCACGCCACCCATGAAGTTGCATTTCTCTCTGTGGGCCAGCTTCTCTTCCACGGGGTGAGTGGTCAGGGCAGGGTGCAGCAGGATTTGGCTCCCACGAGCCTGGGAGGGTGTGTGGGAGCCAGCACTCACCTCTCCCCAGTGTGGAGGGACTGCAGCAGCCCTGCTGCAGCTCCTTCTCCAGGGTGTCCACCTCACTCTCCACCTCTTCCAGCTCTGACAGAGCCATTTCAGGAGTCAAGCCAGATTCTGGCACCCTGTCCTGCTCCCTGCCTGTGTCCTGGGCAGCATCAAGCAGAGCATTGCCATCTGGGTGACAGGTGGTTGTCTCACTCAGCACAGGTGTGGCCCCACCTCAAGTGCTGGGGGCAGTTTTGGGTGCCTTGATATAAGAAAGATATCACACAATGAGAGTGTACCCAGAGGATGGCAACCAAGGTGATGAAAGGTCTCAACGACAAGAATTAGAAGGGGCATCTGAGGGTCCTTTGGCTGTTTAGCTTGGAGATGAGAAGGCTGAGGAATCACCTCATGGCTGATGGGTGACCTCATCACAGTTTACAGCTTCCTCCAGGGGGGCAGCAGAGGGAGAGGTGCTGATCTCTCTCTGGTGACCAGCGATAGGACACGTGGATGGAGCTGTGTCAGGGGAAGTTCAGGTTGGATATTAGGAAAAGGTTCTTCACTGAGAGAGTGGTTGGTCCCTGGAACAGGCTCCCAAGGGAAGTGGTGGTGGCATCAAGCCTCTCAGAGCTCAAGGAGCATCTGGACTGTGCTCTCAGTCATGTGGTTTAGATGATCCTGATTGGTCCCTTCCAACTCCAAATTCTGTGATCCCATGATGCTACTACAGTTGGATGGCCAGGATGGAGTCAGCACCCTCCAAATGACACCCAGCTCCCCAGCAATGCCAGTCAGCCCAGATGAAGGAAAAGTGATCTTTATTTTTCCCAAAAAATGGTTAATTTTGCCTTGGTTAATTTTTCACCTTGTGCTGCAGGGGCTGCTGGGTTCAGCTGCAGGGACCTGGCCACAGGGAGCAAAGGCAGCTCAGCCACCCTGATGACCACCACGGGGCAGCAATGCCACCCTCTGCTTGCCCAGCCACTCATGCAACATGTCTCCAGGTCTCAGGTCACAGCACAGGGCAACAACTTGCCTCTGTCTGACCTACCCTGAAGCTGGGAGGGATTTAAGGGGGTCTGCTGGGCACAGCCAGGCTGGAAACCCAGAGCTGGAGGAGAAGGGTGCCAGGAGCACAGTCCATGGCTCACAGAGATGGGTCACTGTCCACAACCTCAGGTAATGTGCCCTGGGCCCAGGATGTTGGATTTTTGCAGGGGCAAAGCCTACAGATCCCAGGACACTGAACCTGCCGATGCCCCTGACAAACTCACATCCAACCAAACAGTAAAGACACACCTGGAAAAATCCTTCCCAGCTTTCAAAGCCTAGTTTTAGTGCTGGGAATAGGTTCAAACCCAACCCATCAGCATCCACCAGCAGCTCCAGCCAAACCGCCTGCAAAAGCGCTTTCCCGGCCGCGAGCGGAGCCCCCGCTCGAGACACAGGGATGAGGGTGAGGGAGAGCCAGACATCCCCGCCTCCAGTTTTTGGGGTTGCTTCCAGTGGAAAAATACCAGGCTTAGAAAGAACATGCATGGGCATTTGCACTTTTGCTTTAATTTTATTTCTTTTTTCCCTGCTTTTCTTGATGATGGGGGAGAAAAGGGTGTTGGTGTCCAATGGGATTACTTCCTTGTCCCATGGGACACAAATCCTCTCTCTGCTGCTTTTGTTTCCCAATTTTTTTGGCTGAAAAGCAGCTAGAAAAGGAGAAAATCTTGGAGAGAAATGGTGGTTTGGGGCTTTGCTGCTTGGTTGGGAGCAGGACGGAGCCAGCACTGGCACATGCAGAGGCATCTGAGACCTGCACACCTACGGGGACCCTCACATCAGGATGTCCTGTGTCCCCTGGGTTCCTTCCCTTCCCTTCATGGATTCAGAGCTCATGGATTCCAATCGTGCTGGAGCATCCAGAGCCATGGGGAAGAAGTGTCAGGGCTGCTCTGGTCCATACCACCCATTCCCCAACCACTGGTCTCCCAGCCCTGGTACCAGCAGCTCCCCCGAAGGCAGGAGAGGAGCCGGGGCCCAGGCTGAGGTCTGGCAGCTGCAACCCCACGTGCCTCCCGCCTGTGTGTGAACACCCCCGCAAATCCGTGTGAGCACACACCTGTGCAAGCCCAACACCCACCCAGCGTGGGTGCTTGAGCAACCACAACCACGTGCGACCAGCAGCGTGCAACCTCTCGGGTACAAACACTTGCACGCACCACGCTTGTGTGCAGCCTGTGCCAACCCACGCAGTGGGGCTATGCGTGGGCATGGCTGTGCACTCACTGCTCGGGGCAGGCATTCAGTGCCCCCCCCCCACGCCTGCAGAACACG